TCTTTCCATAAGTTTTTTTGGGTGAAAAAAAATTTTTTTTAAATGAATTGAGGGGTTATTTTAACCACGTTGAATTTATTTCAGCCCATTTTGTATAATAATTTGGTAATTGCGATCGGAAAATTGTTTATGTAATGTAAAACAACAATAAGCCGATGTTGTACATAATCCAAAACGTGATTTTCAATGCCCGAATCAGATGTTTCATTTAACATGTGACTACAAGTTATTTTTAGTCGGTTAAAAGAAACCAAATTCACACTTACAAAAATAAACTTGTAAATGAACAATTTTTATTGGAAATTCAAATTAAGGTTAAGTATATACAATTACAGGTTAATTTTCAAATAATTAATTTACCATCATGACCAGTGTTGGCCACCTTTATAAGTCCAATTATTTTGACTGGACTTGGACTATAAGTCCAGTTACTGGAATTGTAAGTCCAATGGTCCAGTTTTATAAGTCCAGTTAGTCTTGGTCCGGTTGGCCAACACTGACCATGACATCATTTGTTGTTCTTTTGAAATCACTTCATTAATTCTCTGCTTTCTCACAGCAGATAACGAATCATAACTAGGAGATTTCTGAAATTCAGAATAACTTTAATACCCTTTGGTAATTCAGGTATTATTCCTCTCGCTGCATAAATACTAATAGGTTGTGATAGCTTGTTATTTTTAGACAATTCATCTCTTAACATTACATTAATCCTAAATTTAACAGCTGATTTAGATTTCGCATTTAACGAACGAAATTCTTTTGATTTTTCATATTCTAATAAATTATTAATAGAAAATTTTGTTGGTACTTTGCGTGCACCGTCTACTTCAAGCACCTTCGTTATTTCTGCAAAAACTTTTTGATTAGCAGAAATAGGTTCCTCTAGTTTTTGTTCAAAATTTTGTTGTGTACTATATACTTGCTTTTGTTTAGGTTTTTGTTGATTGCGAATTGATGCATGTATCTGCAAAAGATTTGGGAGCAACATTATTATAATATACATTGTCATCATGGTATAATGTTGGAACTTCTGATATTCTTCATATGGGGACGTCAGAAATTAAAGAAGAAGAAATATCTAGTTTATATAGTTTATTTTATTTGAATTATTAATAAAAATTCTAATAAATTAAATTATCTATTACTACTTGTATATTATTTAAATTATTTTATTTTTATTAATAAGTTTATTTTTAATTAACTATTTTAATTACTTTAAAATAATGAAATTCATTATTCTAATTATATTAAATATTTAAATTAATATTTTAAAGGTAAATTATAATATTTATAAATACTATTATTAAAATGATTATTAATCTAATCACAATATATATAATAAATATATTATTTTTTTTTTAAAAATAATAAACCTTTTTGAAAAATATAAATTTATTATTTAATAATTTTATAAAAAAGTTTAATAAACAAAGAATTATAATTACATATTTAGTATATTTTATAATTGATTCTAAAAGTAATTTAATAAATATACTTAAAAAAAAGTGTATATAATTATTTTAATATATTTAGATACTTTATAAAATTATAAAATATTAAAATAAATTATTATATCATTGTTAAAAATAAAATAATTTATTTTTAGTTATAAAAAATTTTATTGTACAGTCATATCAGAAAGTAATGTTTAATTTAAATTATATAGTAATTTATATATAAAATTTATTTTCTAAATTTTATAATTAAAATGGTTCTTACATTTTATTTTTTTTAAAAAAATATGATTATTTAATTGTAAAATTTAAAAACAATTATTAAAAAAAATATAAATTTATATACAGCTTGAAATTATATGTATGAATTTTTTTTTGAATTTAAAATATAAAAAAATCTTTTGTACATTATAATTAAAATAATTAATGCATTTAAAATTTCTATTAAATAAAATCTTTTTTAAAAAAAATATAATTAACTGGCTTTAAAATTATACAAAATTTAGAAATAATTATTAAAGTAAATACTAATATATATATGACTTGAAATTTCTTATTCTTTATATATTTTATTATAAAAATTAGATCAGATTTTTTTTTGATATAATTATATATCATTAAATAATATTATTAATGATTTTTATAAAATTATCATTTAAAATAAATAAAATGATTAATGATAATATTAATTATACAAATACATAATTACTTTTTATTTAATATATTTAAATATATATAGTTAAATTTAAATAAATAGCATTAGTTATATCAATTTATATTATATATAAAAAATATAAGATCAAATTAACTTTTTATAATCATATTATATTTTTAAAATATCTTATTAAATAAATGTAAATTTTTAAAAATATTAGTTTTAAGCATTTAAAATATATAAATAGTATTTATTATTGAAAGAAAAAATATGAAAGAACTGATTAGATCAATTTGTAATAACAAAAATTATATATTAGATAAATATTTTTGCATTAATTCTTTGTTATATAATCTATCATTTGATATTATGTAAAAAGTTAAGCTATTAAATAAAATTGGTGTAAAAAGTTTTTCAAGATATAATTTTTTATTTCAATAATTCTCATATTGTATTAAATGTATAATAAGTTTTTTATAATTTTTTTTTATTAAAGAATTTTTGCTATTCTTTTGATAATTTCAGAAAGTTTAAACATTTAAATTAATTATATTTACATTTTCTTCTATTATTTTTGTATTTTTGTTCACTTAAAATCTCTTCTCATATAACAAGTGTTGCATAAAAAATACCTTCTTATCACATTATCTTTACTAGGTCATAACTTTCTATTTTTCTTTATTTCTTTTTATTTAATAGTTGAAATCTAATCAACTTTATATCTTGATATTTTACAATTTTCTCAGACATATTGATGGTGATTGGATTCAAATAGAATTCAATATATAATATTATTTTACAGTTCAAAAGCTTCAAAATTTACTGATAGTCCATGCACCTTTCATAGTTACACAAGCCCTCGAAAAAGTATAATGAATAATTTAAAATTTGTTCTAAATATAGGTATCGATCAATCTAACGGTGATACAGACCTGTCTTAAAAATTACATGTATGGATTTTCATTATAATTGTATGATTATATAAAAAAACCTACATTAAAACCATACTATACAGGTTTGCTATATACCCAGGAATTTCGATTATCGAAAAAAATATCTTTATATTTATATTTAGGGAATCGGCAATCATTACTTCTCTCTGTAGATTCTTTCGGAGGTTTCTTTTTTTTTTAGCTTTAATTTTTATTATTATTATTTCTCTCTTCGGCTCCTAAGATACAAGTAAGGGTTCTTTTGGGCATTTTCGATATTTGAAATGAATTTCGTACTCGAAATCACTATATTTTTTCCTATCATGGACATGATTCAAACAGATTTTTATTTATTTGCAAACAAATGCATTTCGAATATCCTATTTTTATATTAAGACGTTATTCCAAGATTAGATATATAATGCCAATAATAAAATGATTTTGCTAAAGTAAACTCGTCTCATACAGTAACGAACATTTTAATAAATGTGATGAGGTTGATGGTTGTGAATAATTTTTAATTTAAAGATATTGATAAACTAAATAATTACAATAAATTTACTAATTAAAAAATACTTGCCTACTTCGGTATCATCAATTTGTTTTAATTTGAGGATTTGATAACAAATTTCCACCGACAACTTTTACTTTTGCTAAAGATATCATCTTGGTCAATAAAAGATGATAAATCTGAATTTTTGATAAAATCTTTCGAGAATCTTTTCAATCAGATGACGTTTGATCGACATTGCGCTTTTTGGTCACTATTTCATTGTTCTTTTATTTTGGGAAATAAAACAACATGTCAAATACTATTGTTCTGAATTGAACTTTGATCTTTATTTCTTGATTTTAGGAAATAATATTTAATAAACAATAAACAATCTTATTTTTATCATAATTTAGAGAAACAGTAATTGGAAAGTAGCACCGATGGAATTCCATTTCTTTTCTACCAAACAATTCATATTTCATTATACACCCTATTTCGTTAATATTAAAAAATTTATTATTATCTTTTTTGTAATGTATGCAAATTCAGGTGACAGTTTTGTTGTAGTTCAGAAACTTCCAATAAAAGAAAAAAAAAAAATTAGAGATTTTGAGTTAACGTTCATCATAAAAAAAAATTTTCAACGGATTTTGGAAATCAAATAATGAAGTGATCGATAAAGTTATTAATCCATAAACCTTTCTTTTTTTGTTGGAGTGACGTGAATAAATCTAAAACAATCGATACAAAGATTTTTTCATTTCGATCTTTATAGACGTAATTTTCTTATAAATTCGCGATTGAATTTTCAACTTTTTTTTTTTTTTAATACAAACATAAAAAAGAATTTTTTCTTTTATCAACCTAATTAATTCTCGAAATACAATGAATCTTAAGATATCTCCAAAAACCATGATTTTAATATCGCTGCTTTGCATTCTGATCCTTTGTCTGCCTATTCACCAAGCAAGAGCCGAGTTTACATACACGGAATCTGATCCAACATTAGAGCTGATCAAACTCGAAACGTATAAGGACGAGACCACCGTCGTTCGTGTCATCAAAGATCTTAAAAATGGATGCTGGGAACCGGCGATAAGATTGCGGATTATATATGCAAATGGCACAGTAACGCCGCTTGATATTTATTCTGATGCTTTGGGAATTCCTGAGTGGAATTTTTGTAGGACTGAAATGGGTTATCATCGCATTAAAGGAAGTTACGGGTTGCGATTGTACAGCTGGATGCCAAATTACGTGCTCATAACGTACATGAATGGGACGAGCTACGACGACCAGGAAAACATGTCTGTTTTTGCCAAATTAATCTCTTGGTCAGGAAAAGTAATTGGGTAATTAAAATTATTTGTATAATATTTGAGATATGAAAACAAAAAAAAAAAAAAAAGAAATAATTTAAATTAAAAAATTTTTCCTCAGCAATGAATATCTCGGGCCTGTTTACATCGTGAATAAAATAATTCAATATCCGATTGAAACTCATTTTGATCGCGTACAACCTGAGCGGGGGTTCTTTTACGCCGATTTCTTAAGTGAAACCAATTACATATTTTGGGTACATTTCAGCGCACCGTAAGTATTAGATGTACAAGGTAAAACATCTTTCGCGTTTTACTAATTCGAAGATTGGATCATTTTTTTTTCGTTAACGTTAATATAGAGATGAAAATGGAACGATCAAGCGCCTTAAAGATGGTACGATCACCCTACAAAATATGCAATACGGAAGTTTCTTCTATACCATTCCAACGCTAGGAGGTGGTGATTTTGGTATTGTGATTGTGAATTCTACTGTCGCAACCGAAATTCCCATTGACCATGGCGGTGGTCCGCTAAAGAAGCAATTGGAAACATATGCTATTTTCATTTCTTCGGAAACTTATGAACAACGGGGTCCTTATTTCATACATCATTTCGGAGCTACCCCAGCTTTAGCTCTAAGAGAACTTGCTTGTGGAATTGAGTACTATGAGTTAAAATATAATTGCTTTTTGGTGGTTAGAACTAACCTAACCGAAAGAAGTAATTTTTTAACACGGCTCACATTTACCGTGACCGGGTAATTTGATATTTGATTTTACTTGATTGAATTTCTTTGTTCTTTGAAAGAATAATTTCTCATTTGATCTTTTATTACCTTAGTTCAAAAATCGATGAGAAGACTTATGAAAATGTATGTAAATGTCGAAAGCAAAACGTCAAAAAAAAAAAAAAAAAAAAAACTTCCTTTCTTTTCTAAAAAAAAAATTATTTCTTTGATAGAACGAGATAAATTCACTTGACGTACACGAAATATACATGGAGAGCTTGTATTACGGAGGTAAATTAATTTTTTTTTTTTGATAAAACATTTTGCCTCTCATTCGATTATAAAAAAAAATTTAATTATATCTTATAGGTTATCTTTTAATATTGCACCGATTCAACGAACTC